CGTACCCTTAAATAAAAATAGTCCGCGAATTCAATAAAACTCTCAAATAACATCGAACGAATGAATTGTTGCCGTAGTCATGCACCGTGAAAATGATGCAAATCACATATTAGTTTCAACAACTACGGCATTGCACAACGCTTAAGACCATGTAATTTACATTCGCCTTTGTCTTTGAGGATTAATGCTATTGTTAATGACCATATTGCCGTTGCGGTTGCCCTTGTATTTGCCGAACTCTCTATTATATTTTGCCAACGGAAATTTTAACGGAATCGATAGTCATTCGATATTTCATGCCCTGAAACTCAGCACACGCAGCATTCGTGACCTGGCGAAGCAGAAACGTTCATTTCCTACTAGCCATTATGTTCATTTCCAAATGTTCATTTCCTACTAGCCATTATGATTATGTGCAAAGACATAAATCAATGATTCTCTTATTCATTTGAGCTGTTGGAATAATATTGCAATATACAATACGTTGCGAGCGACATTTGATGTATGCGTTCGCGTATAATTAACCCAAGAAAATTCAAAATGGCCGACATATATATATTCGAAGGTCAAACTTTTCTGGATCCAGTGTATATATATATATATATATATATATATATATATATATATATATATATATATATATATATATATATATATATATATATATATATATATATATATATATATATATATATATATATATATATATATATATATATAGTTTTTCGTTTTACCTCAAAAAACCACAACAGTCTGTTTCATCCGTATAGATTGATAATAGTATGATTCCTATACGGATGAAACAGACTGTTGTGGTTTTTTGAGGTAAAACGAAAAACTATATTACGCTCTATCTATATGGTATTGAGCACTGTTTGTGTTTCGTAAACCAAAATCTTAAGCTATATATATATATATATATATATATATATATATAACTAAAAGTCACGTGATCGATATCTTCACTAGTGAAGATATGGAAAATATCTCACTTTGCATTTTTCAGTAGCTCACTCTCTACTATATAACAAAGATCATTATGTCCATCACTGCATGCATATGTTCGTTGCCCACATGCCGCATGATACATATGCAACCAAGAGCATTTACTATTGCCAGGTAACAATTACCAAGAAGCAGTTATTAGTAGAGTGTTACGTATATGCATAACTTACAATCGCTACAGTACATGCATGCATGCAGTGTTATTTCTCATCATATTTTCTCAGTTTGGTTAATTACCATACATGCATGCATGCATGTACCGCTGATATTCCACAACTTATGCATTGTAAATTATTAGCACACTATTAATAGAAAAACTACAAGTTCAATAAGCAATGTGGCTCATATTGATGCAATTGAAGGCATTTAGCACTTTACGATCAAGATGTGCAAATTTTATTCAATATGCCTATAATTGCATGTACATTAACTTAAGGACCCATGTAGTTACATGATGACCGACTCGCTTTTCACGACATGAACATATGCGATTCAGGAGTAATGTCCGCCCACAAAATTTCCCCCTTTTAACAGTTTTCGTTTAATTTAGTCATATTATCGCAATTTTAAGTGTTAAGATATTGCTGAAACCGTTCAATTCGATGTCGTGACAAGCGAATCCGGTATCGTGTGTAATTGGTGTTTATATCAGAAGAACCTCTCTCTCGTTAGCTTCACTTAATTAATATAACCCATGCATGCATGCAATTGTTTACATAATTATATAGCTTATATATGATATATGATATGAATTGAAGGATTGTTCTCTCAAACTATACACTATATATAAATACTATACATTTATACAATTGACAATTCTCGGGTCACAAACATATATAGCCTACATTATTAAGTCTCTGTATATATACCTTAGTACCTTATTCATGAACTTTGCATATTAAGTGTGTTGTTTAGTTTGCATATTACCTATACGATTATATACACTATAATTAAGGTGTAACACATGATAATATGATTTTCCTATAAACACTTTACTAATACTATCCTTAAATTCGTATAGTAGCTATATACCTGTTTGCAAAATTCGTGGTCTCTTTTGTATGTTCGTCTCTTGCAGTATATATAGAATTATATAGGTTAATGGCCTGTTCGTATGAGCCGGGTCAGCCCGCGGCTGCCGGGATGAAGCTTGTCACAATTTTTTTCTGACGGCATAAAAGATCGTTTGAATGAACTTTATACAATTACTGGAATCAAACTACTAATTCAACTTGGAAATGTAATTTCTGACGTTTATCAAAGCTGTTAAAAAAGCTTTATTAAACGATCCGGCGGTTATAACCGTGCCAGCCCGAGGCTCCGTATATAAATATATATAAATATATGAAATTTCCTAAACATGAAATTTCCTATTTAAATATTACATGCATATATATATATATATATATATATATATATATATATATATATATATATATATATATATATATATATATATATATATATATATATATATATATATATATATAGGTTGCAATGGTGAAAAACTATCAATTTATAATACATCAGCCATTTAAACACTTATTCTCCAACATTTCATGCATGTTATTAATGACTTTGATATACTATTAATTCACATGCATGCACATGCAGACCCTATAATCGTGAATCACTGGGATTTAGAGTACTAGGCTATATAATACAGTATTCTTGGCTTGCAACCAATTCCTTGAGAATAATTGAATAATAAAATGGAGGCCATGATGCATACTAAATCCAATGAAAGATAATGAGATTCTTGCATGTGTTTATCAGCAAATCAAGAATATAGAATTTGACTTACTGCTTGTCATTCTCTTCACAAAACTGCACGGTAGCCTAAATCCCAAGATGTCTATTCACCAAAACAACCGATTAATTTCTGAAGGCTTACGTATACGAAGTGTAAGCTTCTCCCCCATAAAATATCATCCCATATATATGACGTGTGTGCCTGTTGGATGTTTCCGTGATAATATAAACATTTTTAGGCCCTCATGTCGATTGTAGTTTCCTTGACGTATTATGATAATTCTATATCTCACTGCCCACGGATATGTGGGCGAATTGTAAAGGATTTACATGTTGTCAACACTAGACATTTAAAGATTTCAATGTTTTTACACGAGGGAATGACATTGCCCTTTTTACATCTGCATTGTGTGGTAACATATAATACTTATTTTAGGTACATTGAAAGATGTAGGAGTGCTGTAGTCTTCTTATATACTATCAGAAATTCTAGAATTAAGATGTGCATGAGAAGTTCAGGTAACATCATTGACATTGAAGCACATCGATTAATTTGAATACGTCAACAAGTGCAGGTGGAATAACAGGATAGGTTTTAGAGGGTCTTGTATTGACGTAATTCCGTGAACTCGTACAGGAAACTGCATTGTATAATATAGTTATTTTGACGTTATATACAGAGAGCTGCATCAGTAAAGAGAATATTAGTTTATTCATATAGTCATGCAATGTAGGATATAACAATGCTTAATAGTCAATGCTTATTTCTGCATGATATAGGCTCATGAGACAGGTTCTTAATGTCATAATTTTCCTTGTAAGAGAGACGGGTAACAAATTAAGATACTAAATTACGGTAAATAGCAATGTTAAAAGAGCATCGAAAGATAAATAAATTGCATATACTTAGATATCAACATTCTTCAAATACGATAGAGACTTGGATTTAGTTTGTGAATTAAACCACCAAACGTTCAGAATTTTAAAATTGCCATGAAACTTTACTGGTAAACTGCATGACTATTGTCATTCATTTGGGCAGGAAATTCAATTATATATCAACATGAAAACACACGAAACTTTGCAACATTTCCCTTTGATTCCTTCAAATATTTTCATAATAAAGCTTGCATGAGGACTTTCCTAGCTGTTTACTAGATGCAGTACATGCAGGACCTATACCTTAATTTTGGCTTTAAATGCCCATATTTAGGCTACTCATATTGTCAATGCAAACTCTGAGCAATGACACGAATTCAAAGTCAAACACAAACATTTCAAAATAATTTGATTATTTTATTTGTAAAGGGCGAGTGCATGAGGCAACTGTATATACGTATATAGATTCGTAAATATCGTGCTGTTCCACAACTGTGAATTCCACACTGAATAAACAATTTACCACCAACATATACAAGATGATGAAAAAAAAACCGCTATGGAAATTCACCAGGTTGTCGTGCATCACAAATTACTTGGCTGAACAATTATTATTATTACAAACATCTTTACAGAGGGTAAAACATTTCAGTGCACAAGACACTGTTATCAATATGTGCCCTCTCTACTTCTAAATTTAAAATACAAGCAATAAAATAGATATAAAATAAGTTAGTTCAAAATCTATTATTCAGTCTACCTATTCAATTTTTTCATAGGACGAAAGAGCTGTTATTTAGCTTTTTCTATGATACCTTTTTTAAATCGTATAACGATGAGAAATGGCCACATACTCGTCAAATAAAAATTTGCCGGTCGGAATCACATTCTTCCACCGTTGGGAATTGAAAATACATTAATTATGCAAAGTTAAGGCTAGTTTCCACTCAGGAAAATTATCCGTGGATTGGAACGGACAAAAAAATTTTTCTTTGTCTTGTGAGCTCGAGATCTGGGTTGGAACTAATGATTTTAACACAAAGAAAAATTTTCTTGTCCGTTCCAATCCAACCATGTTTCGTTAAACATTCTAATTTGAGTTACTGTCTCACTAAGACGAAGATTGAAGAGTTGAGCTCATTTTAGATCATTTAACATTCAGTTTTAATTCCCTCAGTTTTAATTCATGCAATTCCCAACGGTGGAAGAATTTGATTTCGACCGACAATTTTTATTTGACGAGTATGTGGCCATTTCACGTCACATCGTTACGATTTAAAAAGAATATTTCATTGAAAAGTTAAATAACTGTTCTTTCGTCCTAGACACCCTGTACACAACAACAAAATGTTTTTATTGTCAACATATACGCCAACATATATAAGGCCGGCGCACACTGGACCTATATGACATATGTGCTTAGCAAAATGTCATCGTGACTGTTGGCGTAAGGAGATAGCTTTCGTGTGCGGGCGATTTACGAACGACTTTTGTCATTCGTGCCATTTACGGCAAATATCTAACATGTTTAATAATTTCTGCCTCGCGTACCAAAATCTTTCCATGTGCGGCGAACGAAAGCTATCTGCTTACGGATTGTCGTAACAGCGCATGCGTAGTATACAAAATTAAACATCCAAGATGGCGGCGCAAAATGAATTGCTGGCTGAGGCAATTTTAGAAGACAAACTTGTCGCGATAATGCTGTTCCAACAACTTGTCTACAAGCTTGCTGCAAGCCCGTTGAGAACATATCTTGTTGACAAGTTGTTGGACCAGCATTATCACGACAAGTTTGTCTTCTAAAATTGCCTCAGCCAGCAGTTCATTTTGCGCCGCCATCTTGGATGTTTAATTTCGTATACTACGCATACGCTGATGGTGGCACAAATGATAAAAATCGTTCGTAAATCGCCCGCACACGAGAGCTATCTCCTTACGCCAACAGTCAGTGCATGTGCGCCGGGCTATAGCAATCTGAGACAATGAAGAATGCACTGATATCACAGTTATTAAAACTTCTGGTGTAAAAATATAATCCAATGCCATACAAGTTTGCCAAAATAAATTTTCCTAAGACAAATGTTTCACAATAAATTTAGTTTAAAAATTGTAATATTATTCTTGTAATATTATTTATTAATCATTCATAATGGAAACGTTTATACTATAATGTATTGCAAAATATTTATTTTTCGAAACCATCTATATCGCGTTATTTCCGTTCAGTAACTACGTACATTTTTAAACTCAGTTTTTGACCTGACTATAACTTCCAGGCATAGATAAGGACTGACTGATAAGCCAAATATCTTCATATCTTTAATTTATAATGCCAATAATATATATTTAATTTAATTCATTGGATTTCATGAAGAGGCATGCATTATAGTAACTGCATGATGTTCCATTTTTACTTATAATATTTTAAACTATTTACTATTTTTGCAGACTTTTGAAACAATTTGAGACTGGAATAAGTTTTTATATTTGTTGGTATGCTCATTCATATAAATCAGTAGATCCAAAACTATAACAAGCTAATCAACTATACCCTCCCTGGCCAGTTCTTATTTCTCTCATAAATTATAGGACATATAGCTCTAACAAAAGTATAGCTACAACTTGTTTTCATTTTTGAATGGTATCATACATGCAGTTTTGTTATTGTGTGTTTAAAACAAAATTGGGTGGTTTTAAATTAGTACAAGTGTAGCTATATACAAAAGTTCATTTGACAGGTTTTTTATAAATTCAAATATTAAGTGTTAACTTAGTTCTTTAATTTCTGCAAAAATTATGTTGCCACTGATATCAGTAAGACTTGAAATCAAGCGACTGGCAGCATTTTAAACTGCTTTTTAAAATATACATGCAAGATTGAAACATATTCCTCATACAAAACCTCATTCAAGAAAAAAAACTGCATGCATGACTTTCAACTGTTAAACACTTACTTTAAATTGTCAAATTATTTGTCCTTGAAACCATGCAGTGAGGAAAAATTGAAATCAAATCGAAATGATTAAAATTTAAATATCTTAATTGGAAGTGTATTATTTTAAATGATATAGGAAATTAAAATTATCCATACTTTTAATACTACAATCTCTAATTTAGAATTATATAGGGAATTATTATGTTTTCAACACAACTATAGTATCTTCATGGGCAATAAAATTATGATTTTATAGGTTTTTGCACAAATGTACAAATTAATGTAAACTCATATGCATGTATATTGTATATATACTATATATATTAAGTAATCGAGGAAAAATAATTTTTGAAAAATTAAACAATCATAACAATGATTAGTTCATACTGTATAGTACAAACAAGTGAATTATATTAGCAAGTATCAACTAAACCGATTACTCATTTTGGGTACATTTTAAACTGATAACTATTTCTAAAGTACACCAATGCTACTAAGGTAAACAAAACATGCAGCGATAACACTAATGTATGAACTTACTTGGAGTTGGTTGCTGCTGTGATTTCGCTTCTGCCATTGTCTTCAGTTGTCTTTAACTCAAAACAGTACTATGTTTATTCATACTCTTGGCCACAAACTTTATAATGGCGGCGCACCAGAATTTTAATATATTCAATGCAGCCCGTGGCCACGTCTACTGACGTCATTGATAGGATATCCGACAGGCAGCATGGAAAATTGGGAAGATATATATAGTGCAGTACTGAGGCAGTATTTACACCGAAAAAATTTAAACCATTGTAAAAAAATGTTCTTACGCAAGCAAACATATTTTTGTGAGATGTGATTTCCACCAGGCATGAGAAAAAATCCGGAAGATATTGCAGTAATGCATGCACGAGTCAGGAAAAGAAAAGTTTAATTGAATAAATAAATTTTAAAAACGCGTTGTTTTGCGCAAACACATTTTTGTGATGGCATGCATACATGTACAGTGTTGCTGTATCTCTCGCAACCATAACTACTGAAATATGGTATCATTCTTTAATGTTTTAATTGCTTTATATTAGATTTGTAGTTTCACTTTAGTTTTGTTAAACAGTTCCATTTGTAATTGTTTTGAATTTTCTAATTAAATTGTCCAAACTTTGGGAGCTAGCCGTTCCAGCTGCATTTTCAAATAGGTAGCGAGCTGGCCCCATATTGGCCAATATGGGCTGCATGCATGAGCTGCATAATGAAGACAACTGCATGGCTCATGAGTAAATTGGGGAGTTCTGTTTATATATATATATATATATATATATATATATATATATATATATATATATATATATATATTGTGTTATTGTACACTCTGTAATATATTAAGATGAAAATGTTCTAGAGTGTGTATTGTATATAATTTCCATACCCAGCGCAAGCAGAAAGATGTTGTCTGCCGCGGCTGGGTCTTGAACCCGCGACCTTCGAATCACTAGATCATATATATATATATATATATATATATATATATATATATATATATATATATATATATATATATATATATATATATATATATATATATATAAAGATAACCCAGGTCTTAGCGTGGTACGCAGCTTAGTGTGATGACATCATAAGCAGGAAGAAAGCGTGGGTGCGGAAGTGTTAGCCGTGATTAAAGCCAAATATTGAGAGTTCTTTGCTGGCTTTGAGTCCAGTGTTCAATTATGGTTTGAAAGATTTGACATGCTTCCATTAGTAAACGACGTTTTTTGTTTAACAAGCTATTTGAGTACAGAATTTTGTACTTGTTAAGAAAACAGTCGCCGTTATACAGTACTTTTAACTGTACAGTTTTCCGATTGTTCAATCCCTTCCCATGACTTTCCCACTATAAGACACCATTATTTTGCATGGATCTTCGTTCCTGTCTTTGACCGGATGACTCATTCTGCACAGATGCACTCATGCATGGGTAAAATTTTACTGCGTTATATAGAATGAATTAGTGCCCGTAAAAACTCTCGAATTATAAAATGCCAGTTTACCAAAACATAAATAGAACACAGACGACTAAGCTGTGACAGTCTTAGCATTAGAATTATGTATACAAGTAAATGATTTGTGTATAATTCAATAACCATGCATTATATATACGATCCATAAATTAGTACAATTATAGTATTCAAGTATACGTATGTTTGTTATCCAAAGTCCGGAAGTTGAAATCGCATAATTGTTATTATAGTATAGAAAGATAGAAAAGCCAGAATTATTTCTAACTTTAGGAATTATGTTTATTTCTGGTGCCGTGAGGAGATTGATATAACGGCTTACAACAAGTTCATTATACTGTTCAATTTTCCAGTAACTATACAAATGAACCTTTACAGTATGATGAATAATTTAAATAACGAAGAAACGTTGAATGTTCACCATGACCGTGATAAATATTGTCACCCAACCTTTAACAATTATTCGCCGAAGGCGAGGTGATTATCGGGGAATATTCGCCGAGACGAAGTCGAGGTGAATATTCCTCGATAATCACCAAGCCTGAGGCGAATAATTGTTTTAGTATTTTTACACAAGTCTTTTGTATTATTTCGGGTACTGAATTTATTTTAATTTTGCTTATTTCTTTACCAGTAAACTTCCACAAAACGGCTAACCGCCATTTTGAAAATTTTAGTTTTGTTATATTCACCTGTAGGTGAATATAACAGTTTAATACGTCAAATTTGACCAATGAGGTTGTAGGATTTGTTGTGCAAAAATACTAATGCCTGATATTCGTCTTCATTCCTTAAAACTATGTCTAAGTGGTGATGAGGGCCTTTGCCGAACCTCTACTAAAGTAAAGAGAAAACAGTTTTTACCTAATGTCGCTTTAAGCCTGGTTCACGCGATCAATCATGGCTGACGATTTTT